TATTATTATTTATTACTTTTTATTTTTAATTAACGGACATGTTCCGCGACACGCCTAGGACACGTGAAATTCATTTCCTTCCATATTTTCTCTCTTTTAGCCCATCAATGCATTAGGTTTTCCATTTCCTTTTCAACAACGACATTCGTTATTTTGAACCCGCTGCACTGTCAATGGAAAGGTCTGCAACATCATCATTGATAGCGAGAGTATGTCGTATTTAGTAAGTTGGTCACTGCCTTGAATCTGAAAGTTTCACCTCACCCCACACCTTACAAGGTTAGATGGATAAAAAAAGGGGGTGAGACTCTTGTTAATGCAATTTGTACTATCCCTCTTTCCATTGGTACTAATTATAAGGATCAAATTACATGTGATGTCCTAGATATGGATGTTTGCCATATCCTTTTAGGACGTCCATGACAATTTGATACCCAAGTCGTCCATAAGGGTCGAGAAAATACCTATGAGTTTACATGGATGGGCAAAACAGTGGTGCTTTTACCACTAACAAGTCCTACATTTACTAAAGGCTTGGATAAAGGACAACTATTTCACCTATGTAGTGCAAAACCGCTTATTCTACAAAACACATAGCCTTTACTAGGCCTTGTTATCAAGAATTTTGAAGTAGCTGACACCTTCCCCAACGTAGATGTTCCCCTCGAAATCCAAACTCTTCTAAATAACTTTCCAGATCTCCTTCAACCCCAAGAATCTTTACCCCCACTACGAGACATTCAACATCATATAGACCTCATATCAGGAGCCACATTAACTAACCTATCACATTATCGTATAAGCCCGGCCGAATACAAAATATTACATGATCAGATAACCGAATTACTTGCTAAAGGCCATATACAACCTAGCCTAAGCCCGTGTGCTCTTCCAGCACTTCTCACTCCAAAAAAAGATGGGACTTGGAGAATGTGTGTTGATAGTAGAGCTATCAACAAAATTACTATCAAATACAGGTTTCCTATTCCTCGGATCAATGATCTTCTAGATCAACTTGGAGGTGCACACTTCTTCTCTAAGTTGGACTTGCACAGTGGTTATCACCAAATTAGAATTAGGTCAGGGGATGAATGGAAATCCGCGTTCAAAACAAATGAGGTACTGTTCGAGTGGCTAGTCATGCCTTTTGGCCTTTCTAATGCTCCTTGTAGCTTCATGAGACTTATGCATCAGGTTCTTCTCCCTTTCCCACATAAGTTTATTGTGGTTTGTTTTGATGACATTTTAGTTTATAGTAAAACTAGGGAAGATCATTTGGTTCATTTAGACATACTATTCAAGGCTTTAAACACTAATAAGCTGGTCATTAACCTTAAGAAATGCCTCTTTTTGGTGACTGAAATTTCATTTTTAGGCTTTATAACAGGAAAGGATGGCCTTAAGATGGACCCTTAAAAAATAAAAGCCATTTCTGAATGGCCACAACCACAATCCGTCAAAGGAATCCAATGTTTTCTAGGTATGGCATCTTTTTACAGAAAATTTATTAAGGACTTTAATTCTATAGCTGGACCTTTAACATATTGTCTTAAGAAAGGTAACTTTCATTCGGATAAAGCTCAAACTAACAGTTTTTTGACCTTAAAAGAAAAACTCACACAAAGTCCCGTGCTCAAGCTCCTTGACTTTACACAACCATTTGAAGTGGCTGTTGATGCCTCGGGTGTTGGAATTGGAGCAGTGTTATCCCAAAATCAACATCTCATTGAATATTTCGGCGAGAAACTCAGCCCCTCTCGCCAAAACTGGAGTACGTACGAGCAAGAGCTTTATGCCCTTGTTCGCGCCGTAATGCAATGGGATCATTATTTACTAAAGCAAGTGTTTATACTATTTACCGACCATTCTTCTCTAAAGTTCCTGCATGCTAAAAAAACTGTGAGTAGAATGCATGCTTGGTGGTTGTCTTTTTTACAACGGTTCGATTTTGTAATCAAACACAAAAATGGAACCTTGAATAAAGCAGCCGATGCTCTAAGTTGAAAGGGAACTTTACTTACATTCCTTCAAGGTGAGTTGAAAGGGAACTTTACTTACATTCCTTCAAGGTGAAATCACTGCTTTTTCAAATAGGAGGCCTTTGTACAGGAGGAGGAAAATTGATGTAACTAAACTTTAAGTAAGTTAGTTTAGTTTAGTTAGGTAGTTAGATTTTTTTTTATTGTCCTTTAACTCTTTTACCTTGGCTCTCCTCTTATAAATAGGAGGCTTTTGTAACTTTAATTCATCATTTCAATGCTAACAAGATTTCCTACCATGAGTATACACCAAAATACTTCTATCCAAAAATGGCCGATAAAAACCTTGTTTTGATGGGAGATTATTGATCACAAAAACCATGTAGCCTTGTTACGTCTCATACAAACAATGCGACAATTGACTTAGCTGAGAAAGGTTGGCAAATTGGTATGAAATGTGCATATTTACACAACCTGTCAATTATGACAAAGACGGTGTCGTTTCCTAAGGATTGGTAACCCTCCCACGAAAGTTCATGGTTATGTCTTCTCATATTTAATCAGGTGCTGGCAAGGGCGGTAGTAATTCGGTTAGAGAGGTCGCCACAGACTTGTTGAACATTTCTCCATATAACTCTTGGTATCAGCTTTCATACTCGACTAGTACAACTCCCTCGTCAATCTTTTATAGGTTTGTAGGAAATCTGAGTGCCCCCTCAATGTTCAATCGTAGGAACCTGAGGTAGGAGAAGGGAAAAGACTCAACTTTACACCCTAACTTATTGGCTCAGTTTTAATATCCATTGGGTTGCAATTAATCCCTTATCTGATACAATTTAGTAACATTCAGAGATAGACCAGAAGCCATTAGGAAAAGGCTGAGGACACTTCGCCAACTTTGAAGCGCAGAATGAGAAGGAGGGCAGAAAATCAATATTCTGTGTACTGGAGGTGCATAATCTCAAATGAGTCGTTATCGAAGGAGAAGTCCCTTTGGATATTCCGTTCGCTAACAAATTAATCAGGTGACTTAAAGAATCTCCAATAATATTGAAGTGGAAGAGAAAAAGATATTCCGTTCGCTACACAAATTAATCAGGTGACTTAAAAAATCTCCAATAATATTGAAGTGGAAGAGAAAAGGGGATATCGGGTCACCTTGTCTTAACCATATTTTGGCCAGGATTTTCCTTTAGCTTTCCATTAACAATCACAGAGATCTTGGTGGAAGAAACACAGTCCCGTATCCACTTTCTCCATCTTAGCCCAAAGCCTTTTTATTTAAAAGACGCGTCAAGAAACTCCAGTCAAATTTGTGGCAGGCCTCCTCAAAATCTAGTTTCAACAAAATTCCCTATGGACCAAGCCCCCACTGTTTCTGAAGCTGCCAAGATTGCGTCAAGAATTTGCCGTCCTTCAACAAATGCTACTTGAGTGTTATCTATAATAAGAGGAAGGACTTTCAAGTCTAGTTGCTGACACTTTAGCTATCATCTTATACAGCGAGGAGACCAAATTTATGGGTCTAAAGTCCCTTACTTTGGTAGCCTTATATTTCTTAGGGATCAAACAAATGAAGGTCTCATTGGTCCTCTTGTTGATGATGCATTTCTAAAAAAAAATCTTGGAACACTTCAAGCAAGTTTAGTTATGTTCCAAACTTCCAAGCCCTTTTAAAGAATTAGTTAGTCACCTTGTTAGGGCTCGGAGATTTCAAGTTGCCTAAATCTGTTAGCTTCTGTAAATGGAGCTTTAGGCTGCTCCTTCCAAGTAGTCGTAAGGGGGACCACTCCATAATGTCAAAAGTGAATCAAATACCCTTACTATTTGAATACAAAAAGGAGAAGTTTAAGATCTCCGGCTCAGTCTCCTCATCTGTTGTCAGGGGGTTCTCATTCTTGTCCTCCGACAAGGAAATGATGTTCTTGTTTTTCCTAGATGAGGTCCGTTTATGGCCTCTTATTTCAACCACTTCAATTTAGCCACTTGACCCCATGGTCTCTTTTGCTTCATTGCCACACTGGCTAAATTCGCTTTAACTCTTATTTCACTAATGAGAACCCTGATAATGAACCAGGCTCTTTCTTGTTGTCTATTTCCTCTTTCACTTCTAAAATCCCCTTTTTTAAGTTCAAGACATTCCGAAGGCATCCTGTTCCATCTAATCAAGGATTATACTTTCTACAATCCATTGAAGTCTCCTCCAAGGCACCAAACACCTTGACATAGACTTGCCAATTCTAATATTTCCTCCAAAAGTATGATCTACCATGGGGCGAAGAAGGACCATACACAGTTGAAAACCAACCATCACTACAAATTTTAGAAGAAAAATTAATAGAAGCAGAGAAGGGACCCATTACTGAATCTTTGACCGAAATTCTTTGATCGTACAACATAATTAGAATGCCGCTTTCAGAGCCTTTAGAGTCAAGGGAGACCTAGCCAATGTGTCTAGAACTCCAAATTGTCCTTATTTGGCTTCTATCAACCATACTACACTTAGTTTCTTGCAAACAAACTAAATCTGGATTTAATTTCTTAATAAGGTCTTTGATGAGTGCCCTTTTTGAGGAGGCTCCCAATCCTCCGACATTCCAGGAAAGGAGCTTCGTAAAGAGACTTCCAACACTTCCAAGCCTTTTGGCCACGATTTTGATCGACTCTATTTCGCCATTTTTGTGGTAGTAATTTGGACCATCTAATCGTATATAAATCGTAGTGATAATGACTCCTTAACCAGTTTTTCCATTGATTCATTCCATAATTTTGAAGATTCTTTTGTTTTAAGTCTGAATGWACTATTTCTTGTGCTCCAAGAACTTCAACAAAATAATCCTGTATTTCATTCCTAAGAAAAAGATGTTCTGTGATATTGAATACTAAAAGAAAGTAAGAATATCTCAATCTAACTTTATTCATTAAGGGGAACCCTATTTATAGAGAGTTCCAAGCTAACAAACTAATATTAACTTGAAGTTACTACACAGTAAAAGGATCTTTTTAAAAGAATTACAACTATAAACTAGGCTTTAGACTTAACAAGCTACCCAAGGCCATGTACGGCTACATCACTGAACCTTCTACTTCACGAGCTACTTTGGCGTCTAACTCCCATATTGAAACAAGATTATTCACTTCTCTATTCACCTTCTTACTTGCTGCAGTCTTAATTTACCTTTTATTGGGATGGGCCTTATGCAAAGATTATTTCCCACGAAGCGACTACCGACCTTTTTGAAAAAGGAAAACCTTCGAGCATGGAGGGAATGCATTCCTCCTCTTTCACCTCTTTTTCTTCCCCTCTTTTTGGCTGATTAATAAGAATCGATTGATCTACAATGGTAATTTCTACTATGATAGTTATTTTTGAACCCTTGTTACACTATAGACTTCTTCAGTCTCTCTGAAGCAGAGGTGAAAAGTCTCTGGGACCATCTAGGAATGGAGAAGTTTGGGGAGCCTTGGGACTACACAGCTCTGGGCTGGACATTGAGGACTCTGAAGACACTTCTATAAGTTTTCTTTTGGTTGAAAGTTCTTTCCCTTTGGTCTTCTCACTGACTCCACCTTTATCGCGTTACAGAGAAGACATTTTCTGAACTCTGGGTTTTTTCCATTTTCCTTTATAAATCAAACCTTTTCCAAAGGAGGGACTGTTCCGAGAAAATTTGTGACCTTTAAAGCTGTTTGTTCAGAGGAGGGGAGGGTAGGGAAGTCTTTTGAGGAGGCATCTCCCTTTGTTTAGTTGTTAAAAGCCCTTTCAGAGGGACCCACTCTTTCATCTTCAAGGAATAGGGTAAGGGGTATAGACACCAGTTGTCAACTCATTCTCTGATCAAACCAGAAGAGCTGGTTTCTGCATGGGGTTGACGAGAATTGGAGGGCACGAGTCCCCAAATTTAATCGTCCTAGATGGATGCTCCCTCGCAACACTTGATTGATTCTCTCTCTTTTTTGGCTTACCATGGTGTAAAATTGTCTCTTCTTTTAGAAACTATAGCATTAACACTCTTATATCCAATTGAAGAAGTTTTTTGTAACTTCATTGGATGGGGGTTTGGTTTTTTGGTTTAATTTCATATCATCTATAAAATTGTTTCCTATAAAAAAATAAAAAGGAATGTCCAATATGTGTGGATCTAGGGACTCTTTTTTGTATTATGTTTTTTACTAGCAGACTTTATTTTTTCATTTGTACCTGTTAAATTATCACTGAAAAGTTTGTTTCCTTTTAAAACTAAAAGAATGTCCAACATGCGTCAAATAGTATTTATATAATGTGCACTCAGATGTCTTTTAAAACTATGATTGCCCAATTTCGAGTAGGTACATTAGATGTCTTTTACATGCAATGTTTCTTGTACCAAACTTTCCTTCTCCTTAGTAAACTTCAATTTTCATAGAATAATTGTTGTCATATTTTCTATAGTACGGATAAGATGATTACCTAATGCAAAAGTTCTGGAGAAGATAACAATATGCATATATGCAAATATTTAAGTGCCTTTACTGTAATGTATATTGGCATAGGACTACATAAGCATTCTGAGTAATAACTTGCCGCCAGTTTTCCATTAAAGATGCCTTCTTTAATGGTCACAGTTTGCTTTGCCATTATTCTTAGGAAGATCTGTATTACCCACATCCACTGGTTCAAGATGTTCTGTGGGCTTCGCTGCGCTATGTCTATGAGCCTCTTTTTATGCGTTGGCCTGCAAAAAGACTGAGGGAAAAGGCTTTGCAGAGTGTAATGCAGCATATCCACTATGAAGATGAAAATACTCGGTATATATGCATAGGGCCTGTGAACAAGGTATGCTTTAGGGACTACAAATTATGTTCTTACTTGAATTAGCAGACTGATTTTTGGATACAAAAAAGAAACTATATATAAAGTTATAAACAAATTTTGTTTCCATCTACGGAATTAGGTCAGTTGTTTTCTTCAGTTCTTCAACTTCACCCAGATTGAACTCCATATTCTATTATTTATTCGATGGAGGTCTTGATTGTCAAGTTTATTTGTGCAGGTATTAAATATGCTTTGCTGTTGGGTGGAGGATCCACATTCAGAGGCATTCAAATTGCATATTCCAAGAATCTATGATTATTTGTGGATTGCTGAAGATGGCATGAAAATGCAGGTTCACAAATGACGGCAAATTGCTTCTTGTTGATATTATAAATTCATTTTTTTCCTACCTATATTTTCCTATTATGGTCTTGAAAGCAAGATGCCTTTACTAAGAACAGTTTTTCTTCCTATCATTCACAGTTTTTATGGTACATGCATATATACCTCATGATCCGAGGGAATAAGCAAAAGAAGATGGTCTTTCATTTGCACTATGAAAGTACGGTTTCTCACTAAAAGAAGAAAGAAAGAAACATGGAAAAGGGAAACTCAAAGCGCACACAAATTGAAAAGACTAGGATCCACTATCAAAAGAAAATTTATCCACTCTTTTCAAAATAGAGTATCATCCAAGAGGCTCTCTTTGTGGGTTAGTTCCTTAACAGTGCTATGGTAGCTATGGTAATGTGCTGCTTGAGATTTCTCACTAGTCACTCTCAAGTTGGTACCGGATATTCTAACATGTTATTGCTATGCGAAGGTTTCCATGGTGAGTCCTTTAGCAAGTAGGTCTATTGGTTGATCTTTTGAAGAGAAGTCGGGCATAAATATCAGTATTTTCAAGGCAAGCCAAGGTGAGTGCCTATTGCGCAAGGCGACGTGAGGTGGACACCTCTCCATTGCGCTCCCTTTGGCATTGTTGAATAATGGTCAAGTGAGTACTTTTGTAAAGAACTACAGATGATAGGTGTTGAGTAGGGGCGCAAGGAATTTTAAGCAAAACAAAAAAAGAAAAATAAAAACCTGAATTAGTTGGCAATCAATTAGAAACTTCTTGAAGGAAATCCACTAGAACAACCCACCATATCTTCCTACTCGTTGGCCCATCTTGCAAGACATTCAAGCTTGAAAAGTTGAAAAATTCACATAAAGTTGCATCAAGCTTAAACCATAAATTTGAGTAAGGTTTCTGCTTCTTTTATTTCAATCTTCGTATTTTTGCTCCTCCAGAGGAATATGAAGTATGGATGTGAAATAAAAAAGTGTATCACTTCAGTTAGAGATGTGAAGTGTATGGGACAATTTTATAGATTATTATGAAAAGGTTCAACCCTAGCTGTTCAATTAGTAATCCAATCCTTAGATGGTGGGACAAATAGATGTCATTAAAAGAATTGCAACTTAATAAGATGCTTGAGTGGCACGAAGCCAAAGCAGCGGGACATACCACTAAGAATTAGGTATTAGTATTTTCAAAGTCATTCTACCAGTAAATCTGTCATTTAAAGTGGTTGTACTGGGGCCGTAGATTTATGGTGAATTTTGTTAAATTTTCTAATGAAGCTGATTTAATTTTTGAAATTACGAAATTGGTAGATCCAGTTGCCAGATGCTGTATTTTCAATGGAGCTACAACCAGTTTACTCACACATAAAAAGTTATGCCACATTTAAAGCCATTGGGGATTTTTTTTGGGGTTTCATTGATTATTCAGATTCCAAACAAGAGCAAAGCCATGGGTAGAGGTACAAAATCTAATAATACAGAAAGCAGAGAGTTAAAGAATTTGTTGCAAAGCCATGGGCAGAGGTACAAAATCTAATAATACAGAAAGCAAAGAGTTAAAGAATTTGTTGGCTACCTGGGAGAATGAGGCAAAGATAGCAAGGCAGAATGTAGATCCGTCCCTCGGTTGCTTGATGAAGCTGATCTCCTGGAACGTGAGAGGTATGGGAGCTGCCTAGAAAAGAGTTTTGATCAAGGACCTTCTTCTCAAACAAGATCCGGATATAGTGTGTTTGTAGGAGACCAAAAGAAGTTCGATAGATGGGAGATTTATTAAATATTAAGGCTGTCTGGAGCTTTCGGAAGATTGGCTGGTTGGCTCTAGAGGCAGAGGACACTGCTGCAGGTATCCTGGTTTTGTGGAACAAGTAAAAGATTGTCATTTTAGTCTCTATGTTGGGATCTTTCTTTGTTACTATTAACTTTAGATTCTTTGATGGTAGAACATGGTGGTTCTCTGGGGTTTATGGGTAGTCTACTTCCAGAGGTAGAACAGATTTTTGGCATGAGCTGAAGGATTTAGCTGGTCTTTGTCAAGGGAATTGGTGTATTGGAAGTGATTTTAATGTGGCTCGTTGGATCTCTGAGAAAATTGGAGGTAGATGCGGTAGAGTTACTCGAAGCATGTAGGAGTTTAATAACTTAATTGAAGCCATTGATCTTCTGGATCTTCCCATGGATAGTGGCTCTTACACTTGGTCAAACATGCGGTCTTCCCCAACTCTCTCGAGGTTAGATCGGTTCTTATTATCTAGAGCGTGGGTATCTTTTTTTGCTGATCAGAGGGCTACAAGACTCTTTCGCACCACTTCCGATCACTTTCCAATCCAATTGGCATCAGAAAAAATAATATTGGCCCCACTCCCTTCAGATTCGAAAATGCATGGTTGGAATCATCTCTCTTAATCCCGTTGGTCGACCAGTGGTGGAAAGTTAATCCTTCACAGGGATGGCCTGGGTTCGGCTTTTTGAAGAAGTTATGGGGTCTGAAAAGTGTGCTTACCAGATGGAACGGAGAGGTCTTTGGTCATGTTGGTCTTTAAAAGATCGAATTAATGAAAGCCATAGATATCTTAGATATTGACGAAGAAATTAGCCCTCTTTCGGAAGAAGCTTTTAACATAAGAAAAGTGCTTAAAGAAAGTTCGGTGGAGACTACGATCCTTGAACAAAGAATGTGGGTGCCGAAAGGGAAAATCAAATGGCTTCAAGAATGTGATGAGAACTCGAACTTTTCCCATCGGTGGTCTTCACACCAAAAATATCGGGCTTTCATAGCTGATATAGAACTTGAACAAGGCATAGTATTGATTAAATGAGAGGATATAGAAGCAGAATTCCTGGGATATTTCTCTTCCTTGTATACCACCACAGTTGACAGAGGCTTTATGTTTGAGAATATTGTTTGAGTATATGGAGTGGGTTCCCCTCCAATCCATTCATAACTCTTAGCTAGAAACTCCTTTTACAAAGGACGAGATTGGTAAGGCAGTGGCAGAGTTGGGTAGCGAGTTTTTGATAAAGGCATGGAATATTTTTAAACTGGATTTGGTTACAGTGTTCCATGATTTTTTTTGAGAAGGGGATTGTCAACCAGAGGATGAGACTTACATATGTTTGATTCCCAGAATCTCTAATCCTTCGATGGTTAAAGACTATAGGCCCATTAGTCTGGTCACTTCTTTATACAAAATTATAGCAAAAGTGCTTGCAGTCCGGTTGAAACAAGTGCTTCCTAGTATTATTCATGATGACCAAGCAGCGTTTGTGGAAGGTCGTCAAATTTTGTATGCTATTCTGGTAGTTTCAGAGACTATGAGCCAGTGTAAAATTTTGAAGAAGAAAGCCTTCCTCCTTAAGCTTGATTTTGAAAAAGCTTATGATAAAGTGGATTGGGATTTCCTAGATGCAATTCTTTAGGCCAAAGGTTTTGGGGATCGGTGGCGTAGATGGATCAGGGGTTGTCTTTCATCTACCAACGTTTTCATGTTGCTTAATGGAAGCCTAGGGGTAAGATTAAGGCTAAAAGAGGCTTAAGACAAAGGGGATCCTCTTTCCCCTTTTCTTTTTATGATCGTGGGTGATGCTTTGAGCACTTTTGTAATGAAAGGAACATCCTCAGGCTTTAATATTGGTTCTAGTTCCTTAGAGGTGACACTCCTTCAATATGCTGATGATGTGCTCATTTTTTGCCCCTTTTCAGCTCAGAAGATGGAGAACTGGTGGGGTCTTATTATTCATGTGTTTTTGTTGGCTTCGGGCCTTTCTTTGAATTTCTCCAAAAATACTGTGATTGGTGTCAATTGCTCAAGATCTAAGGTTAGTTTTTGGTGTCTTCTTTTGGATGCAAAGTACTTCTTGTTACTTTCTAAGGGTGACGTGGCTAATTTGGTGATGTGGTCTTGGTCGACTTTGCCTCATAAATAGGGGGGCCTTGGAATTGGCTCGTTGAGCCTTAGGAACAAAGCCCTCCTCATGAAATGGCTGTGGCATTTTGTGGTGGAAAGGGATAGCTTCTGGAGACGGGTGATAGCTTGAATTCGGCTACTGAAAATCTGATTTGGAATTTTAAAGCTCCTAAGAAGGTTAAATTCTTCACTTGGATTCTTCTATATGGAAAGGTAAACACAACAGAGGTTCTTCAAAGGAAGCTGCCTGGATATAATCTTATGCCTTCCTCCAGCCCTCTATGTCAATCTAATGGAGAAAGCTTGATTCATATCTTTGGCTTAATGTAATAAAGGCAGTGCTTTACGAGATTTGGTTCGAAAGAAACTTAAGAGTTTTTGAAGGAAAGAGGCAGTCTTCGACAGTGCGCTTCAATATAGCTAAGATAAAGGCTTCTCAATGGTGTTCCTTATCGAAATTATTTAGGAATTATTTCCCTAGCTTGATTGTTCTAATTGGAGAGCTTAAGGCAATGCTTTACGAGATTTGGTTCGAAAGAAACTTAAGAGTTTTTGAAGGAAAGATGCAATCTTCGACAGCGCGCTTCAATATAGCTAAGTTCAAGGCTTCTCAATGGTGTTCCTTATCGAAATTATTTAGGAATTATTCCCCTAGCTTGATTGTTCTAATTGGAGAGCTTTTATTGTACTTTGTTAAGTTTTTTTCTTTCTTTTTCCTTTTCACTCTTTCGAGAGTTTGTATCCTAGGACATTATTACTCCTTTTCATTATATCAATATGTAGTTCGTACCTTGTTAAAAAAAAGAAGGTTAAATTCTTCATTTGGACTCTCTTCCATAGAGGGATTGATATTAAAAACAAGCTCCAAAGAAAGTTCCCTCATTGGTCTCTTTCTACTTCTGTGTGTAGTATGTCAATAAGAACGTCGAAACAGTGGATCACCTATTCCTACACTACCCTTTTGCATCTAAAGTTTAGGGGTTTATTGCATCACTCTTAGATCTCTCCCCTTGCATCCCTAGAAAGATTTTCTGTGTGTAGTATGTGTACGAGGGACGTCGAAAGAGTGGATCCCCTATTCCTACACTGCCTTTTTGCATCTAAAGTTTAGGGGTTTATTGCATCGCTCTTGGATCTCTCCCTTTGCATCCCTAGAAAGATTGAGGATTTTAACACTGAAGGCTTCGGAGGAGTGAAACTCAAGGGTAAAGCGTGGGCTATTTGGAATTGTGTGGCTCGGGCTCTTCTCTGGTCTATATGGAAGGAGAGGAATAGTTGGATTTTTTAAGATAAAGTTCACTTTGATAGATTCTTTTTGTGTGAATATTAAGCATATTGCTTCTATGTAGTCTTTGCTTCATAAGAAAGTTTTTTTGTAACTACAATCTTCATTCGCATACACAACGTTGGAAAGTAGTGATTGTATGGAGCTCTGGGGAGGGTTTGCTCTACCTGCTGCCTCTAGGCTGTTTCCCCTTTGTGGTCCTTTTTGTTTTGAATACTGATCTTTTGTTTCTTATCAAAAAAAAAAAAAAAATTGATTATGCAGATTGCAACTTTAGTCTCTTGGATTGTGTGGAGGTAGCGATAAATGTTCAAGGAAATTACTCTTGTTTTATCCCTTCAGAAGTCCAGATTATTACCGAGAATAGGATATCCATAGCATATGTTTCCTCCTACAAAAATAGTAGTCACCTGATCAGAAAGACTGCTGGAATCCATGGAAGCTTCCAATCGAAAAGCGCAAAGAGATTTTACGAAGGAAAGGGGAGGGTTGTCTTTGTCCAATAGATTTATGGCATCTAAAGGAGTGGAACAGGGACACTTTTGGCTCCATACACCAGGAGATAGCAGTCTTTGAAACCAGAATTAATTGCTTAGACAAAGAAGAGGAGAGGGGACCTTTGACCTTTGTTATGTTTACTGAAAGGATAGAGCTCAAAGCCTCCCTGTTGGAAACGACTATCAAAGACCAGCGAAGATGGGCGAGGAATGTGTGTGATAACATAGAATAAAGTTTAATTTATGCTATTTCTAAAGATTTATTACTGGCCAGCCTGCATGTTGTAATGGCTGAAAGAAGGAGATGAGAACACCAATTTTTTTCATAGATGGGTACCCAAAGGAGGTGTAGAAATGTTATTTCAGTTATGGAGGATAGACAGCGCAATCCTCTGTCTTTTGCTGTAGAGGTCGACGTTGAGATTGTCAGCTATTTCAACTCTCAGTATAAGGCAAAAATAGGTCCTCGGTTATGCTTTGATGGCATGAATTGTAATCCCCTGAATCAGCAGGATAGCCACGGTTTGGAGGTCCCTTTCAATGAAGAGAAAATGCACAATGCTATACCGAACCTTGGCACTCTCAAATCTCTTGGGCCAAATAGGACGAAAAATGATTTTTTTTTTTTTTTAATTATGGAACATTTTGAAATCAAATCTCATCAAAGTGTTCCATGATTTTTTTCAAGATGGAATTTTCAATCAGAGAACAAATGAAACCTATATTTGCCCTATATCGAAAAAGAAGTTGGCTAGCAAAGTTAGCAACTTTTGTCCCATCAGCTTGGTCACCTCCCTCTACAAAATTATTGCTAAGGTCCTTGCTGAGAGGCTTCGGAGATCTCTCCATCTATTGTTTATGATTCCCGAGCAGCTTTTGTGGAGGGGCAGAAATATCTTTGATGCGATTTTGGTAGCTTCTGAAGGTGTAGGTTGTTAGAGAGCCAAAAAGAAGCAAGGCCTTATACTGAAACTAGACTACGTGAAAGCCTATTATATGGTCGACTGAATTTTTTTGATGGCCATGTTAGAGAGAAAAGGCTTTGGCCTTAAATGGCGTAGATGGATTTAGGGGTGTGTTGGATCAACAAACTGGCCCAGAGGTAAAATCCTAGCTCAAAAGGGTCTTAGACAAGGCTACCCTCTCTCTCCCTTTTCCTCTTTACTCTCATTGGACATGCTTTTAGCTACCTAGTTCACTTTCGTCATGAGAAAAAGATCCTCAAAGGTTTCTTAGTGGGTTCCCAAAATGTGGCTCTAACTCACCTCCAATACGTGGATGATACAATTATTTTAAGCTAAGGTAAGACAGAAAACGTATTGGATTGGTGGGGTGGGGAATCATCTCCCTCTTTGTTTTTGCTGCTGGCCTATCTATAAATCTGGACAAGACTTCTCTTATAGGGATAAACATTTAGGAGTCCATCCTTTTGGCTGATGCTAACTTTGTTGGTTGTAGAACAGAAAGGCTCCCCTTCTTATATCTGGGCTTTCCCGGGGGAATGCAAAATTTATTGGTTTTTGGGAACCTATGGTGGAAAAATTCAGATGCAAGCTTTCCAAATGGAAAGATCTCTCCCTCTCCAGAAACGGTTGCCTAACATTGGCTCAATCGGTGCTTAATATCTTACCTCTTTATTACTTTTCTTTGCTGAAAGCCCCTGTAGCTATTATCAAATCCATGGAAAAGTACGTGAGGGATTTTTTCTGGATGCAGGGACCTTTCACTCTTGCAGCCTACTAGTTAAATGGGAGTGGACCTCGCTCCTGCTTGAGGCCTAGGCATTGGCTCTTTCAAGCAGCATAACAATGATCTTTTGCTTAACTGGTTATGGTGCTTCATTCAAGCAGAAGGAGCCCTCTGGAGGCGAGTTGTGGATAGCAGTTATGGGGCACAACTCCATGGGTGGCTGTCTGCCATACCAAAAGAGGTTGGGTGTTGGTGGTTTGATATAGCACGGAACACCAATCTTTTCCTCAAGTTTATGTCTTTCAAGGCAAATAATGGCAGAAAATTAGGTTCTTGAGGATCGTTGGATTGGGGACCAAACTTTGGAAAAGGCTTTCCTTGACCTCTTCTTAGTTTCTTCGAGAAAGGAGGCTACTATTTATACCTTGGCTTCAGGAGAGGCCTTTCAGACAAAGAGGCCAGTAGCTGGTCGGGGCTGATAAATCAGCTAGATTCGGTCAGATTGGGGGATTCTAGAGACGGGGTTAAATGGAACATCGACACTTCTGGAGCCTTCAAACTAAATCCACTTATATAAAGCTCTCAAAACCTTGCAAAGTTTTCAAACTTCCCCTCCTTAGGACAATCTGGAAGTCCAATTTTCCAAAGAAGATAAAAGTCTTCCTTTGGTCGGTGGCCCACAGAGGTTTAAACACCCATGATTGCTTTCAGAAAAGTGCAAGAGCGGGTCCCTCTCCCCCTTTGCCCGCTCTCTTTGTTTATGGAAAAAAGAGACCCTCAATCATCTATTTCTTCACTATACGACAACTTACAAGTGCTTGTCCCATGTTTTTTGCTTGTTTGATTTAGATGTCTGCCTTTCTTAGAGGATAGATGATTGACTTATCCAAGCCCTCGCTGGTGGTTGTTCTTGAAATGCCAAAAGAGTTATGCGGATTTCTGTTGTGGCAGCAATTTTGTACTACTTTTGAGGACACCTCTTTAGATTTTCCTTTTTTGTGGAGTAATGTACAACTTACTACTTCTAGGTGGTGCTATAGTTTTAACAAATTCTTTTGTAATTACTCCTTATGCTCTATCCTTCAAAATTGGAAGGCTTTTATGTTCTAGCTTCTCTGGGAAGGGGTTCTCTCTACCCTTTGCACAGTAGGCTGTTCTTTTTGTGGTTAATACATATCTATTCGGTTTCTTATAAAAAAAAGAAGGAAAAAAAGTAGTCAATTTTTCTTCTTAATCTTTAGAGAATGCATGTACACATATTCACAAGAATACTAGAAAATTTACTGGAGAAACATAGAAAATGAGGAAACTAAACATAATTAAATGTCGTCCTATAATAAGCAAATAATCTTTCAGCAGATTAGTTTGTTCGTAATATAGTGAGCATAAGCTGTCCGATATTTCTGAGGAGTCTCAATTAGATTTCATCAACACGGGGAAACATTTGGAAATTCAGAAGATATATTTTACATGTCTATGTTTGTTTACTGTAGGGTTATAATGGAAGTCAATTATGGGATACTGCATTTGCTGTTCAAGCCATCCTGTCAACTAAGCTTGTTGAAGAATATGGAACAACTTTAACAAAGGCGCACAAGTATATAAAAGATTCCCAGGTTCTTATTAGCAGAATTTCTTATTAACTTCATGTTTTCTCTCTCTGTATGTGTTTGTGTGTTCAGTTTTCTACATTGCAGGTCTTAGAAGATTGTCCGGGGGATTTAAAATTTTGGTACCGTCATATTTCAAAAGGTGCGTGGCCATTTTCAACTGCAGATCATGGATGGCCCATATCTGACTGCACTGCTGAAGGTTTGAAGGTATGGTTTGTTTTTATTGATTAATATTTAATAGAGTTCACCATACGTAAAAAAAAGAAAAAAAGGATAGAGTTCACCATTGCCATGGATAATACTCCACGGAGGGAGTTAATTGTTTCTTTTTTTCTTTTTTATTATTATTTTAAAACCCATAACTGTTTTTGAGACATAGGGAAAATATGTTCTTTATCTTGCCTCCAACCCTAATATTGATTTTTAATTTATTTGATTGCTAACTCTTAATCCATATATTAATTTTTTTTTAACCAAAAATGAACTTTTCATTTAGATACAAGTGAGAAAGAAATAAAAAAATGAATACAAGTTACATAAAGCTGAAGTAAAAGAAATAAAATTACAACCGATAGCTAAAAGCATCCCAATTAGAATAAATCATGCTAGGTGAGTAATTGACAAAGAGATTGAGAAGCTTTGAATTTAGCAATGTGAAGACTTTCCAACAGATGGATTTTTTTATTCGTTCGAAGGTCCTTTGATTGCGCTCGAACCATAACTAAGGGCTTTAAGACCGTTGACCCAAAGTAAAGTAGCTCTAGGATTCAAGTGTAGACCAAACAGCAACTGGAAAACCAAGTTCGAAACCGACTTGTCCATAACCCAAGATAGGTTGAAGATCCCAAATAACGTGGACCAACAAGTTGCTGCAAATGGGCCGAAAAGAATGTATGCAGCAGATGGCTAGAGAAACATAGATGGTAGGTTTTTCTGCATAATTTCATTTGTATTGACCCTGCCAAACATAAGAATCCATGTAAGGACATTAACCTTCTTGGGGCTACTAGAATTCCAGAGCTTCGAGCAAAAATCTCGTGGCAATACAGTAGAGGGAGCTTTAGAATTACATAAGGAGCTGACAGAGAAAGCCCCATTTTAATTCAATTTTCAAGAAAGTTTTTTTTTTTGGGAATTTGAAAAAGAATGGGGCTTTCTCTGTCAGATTCTCCACTACTGGCTTCTCCAACATCATTAACGTAAAGCCTAGGGCAATTTTACGGCCACGGGAGGATTGAGGCAAGGTGATCCATTATCCCCCTTCCTCTTCATCCTTATTACTGATGTGCTTAGCAGATTGCTTATACATGAGGAAATTGTGGTTATCTCAAAGGATATGAATCTAGGGATGGTTCCATGAAGATTAATCACCCCCTCTTTGTCGATGATACTCTTCTTTTCACCCTAAAAGACCCCAAAGTGTGTCCAAAACTTCTTCAGAGTTGTCACAGTTCTTTTCTTTGAAGCAGCTTCTGGCCTCAACATTAACTACAAGTCTGAAATTCTAGGCATTTCTGTGAGAGTCCTATTAGGGGTATAGAGGAATATTAGTTTGTTAGTATGAAGGGGCAGTATGGTAATTAGAATGAACTGCATTTATGCACCTTTTTCCACTGTTTTTTAATGTCGTTCCAAGGTACCCCAACTCTTCGTTTCTAGAGTGTTCCAATCAAAACAATCTGTTTCATAAATGCTGGCCACAACCCGGCACCATAATGCAGAGGTTTCCACACTAAACCTCCAACCCCATTTCGCAAGAAGAGCATGGTTCTTATTCAATAACATACCAATGCCCAAACCACCATTTGCACAAGGACGAGAAGTAAAATCCCATCTAGCCAAATGCTTTAATGAGCCATTTGAACCATCTCCCCAAAAGAATTTCTTGATATACTTTTCAAATTGCTTACTGATATGTCCAGGCATTTGAAAAAGCGATAAATAATACGAAAGGATGCTACCCAACACCGCTTGGCACAAAGTCGATCTACCCCCTCTAGATAGTTGATATTGCTTCCATCTATCGAGCTTCTTTAGGATCTTGTCCTTGATAGGAGATCAAAAGACTTCAAGCTTTGGATTTCCACCTAAAGGAAGCCCTATGTACATAATGGGCAGATGTTCGATTTTACAATTCCACTTTGCAGCTAACAATGCTACTTTTTAGGTATCAATATTAATTCCACGTAAAGATGATTTGTCCCAATTTACCTTTAGACCAGACAACCATTCAAATGCCTTAATGGTATCGAAAAGAATCTCCAACATAGCATCATCATCTTCACAAAACAACAAAGTATCATCTGGAAATTGTAGGTGAGAAACACGAACATAATTTATGCCCACAATGAAACCTTCAAAAATAGCCTTTTCAAATAGGCGATCCAACAAACTACTAAGCACATCACTGATTAAGAGAAAAGGGAAAGGAGAGAGAGAGTCCCCTTGCCTTAAACCTCTAGAAGCTGAGATCATTGATGGATACTGAAAATTTTGTCGCTATGATGCAACCATTAATCCAGCTAATCCATTTCTTTCCAAACCCTTTCTTGTGAAGCACAACAACAAGAAAATCTCAATCCACTCTATCAAAGGCGTTTTCCAAGTCAAGTTTTAACAGCCATCCACTCTTCTTCTTGACTTTATAAAAATTCACAAGTTCATTTGCAATTAACACGATCAAGGATCTGTCTTCCTTCAATAAAAGCACTTTGATTCATAGAAATTGTGCTAGGAATCACCTTATTGGTCTAAAGTCCTTTACCTTTTCCACTGAATCTTTCTTAGGAACAAGGCAAATGAAATTCCCTTTAACACAAGCATTCAAGTGGCCATTTCGAAGGAACTCAGCAAACAAAATAAAAAAAAAAAATTAATAAAACTCAGCAAAAAGTTGCATAAAATCCCCCTTCCAATGCTGCCAATATTTGATGAAAAATTCAATGGTAAATCCGTCTGGCCCTAGTGCCTTATTTCTTCCCAAATTTTTTTAGAGCAAATGAAACCTCAACTTCCTCAAAATTCCTTTGTAACCAGCTACTGTCTTGACAAGAGATAGGCCTCCAAGAGATGTCTCTTAAATGTGAAATTACTTCACTACAGTACAAGGCGTAAAAAAAACTGATGATTTCGTTCTCAATTTCTCTTTGGTTAACAAGAGATACACCATTTCCATCCTTAAGCTGGGCTTTCCTTTTGCGAGCAGCCAAGAATCTATGAAAAAAATTGCTACTTTCATCCCCTGCCTTAAGCCAATGTACCTTACTTCTTGTATTAAGTTTTGCTCCTCCCTTACATACAAATTAAGTAAGTCTATCTTCAAATAACCTCTTTGTGCAATTTCATCCGAGGAGAGACCAGAATTCTCATCCTTAATATCCAATGAGGATATTGATGAAAACTTTATAGACCATATATTAATGAAAACTTTTATACGTTTATATACATTAATTATTATTATTTTGTTAAGAAATGGACTATCAAAAGAGGAGTACAAAAAAATGGGACGAGAGGCGGAGTACAAACAAAGGGGATGTGATATCCTCACATGCAAAATGGTGACAAAAAGGACCAAATTGGCAAATATTTGTCACATTGTAGTTGTAAAACACTTTAGAAGTAGAAGACCGAGAAGAAGTAAAGATTTACAAGATACCAGAAAACTGCTCTATAAATGGGCTGGACTATCTAATCTTCTGATGGACATCAGCCCTTCCACTGTCGAAGACACAAAAGTTTGGGCGTTGGAAAGTAATGGGATCTATTCAGTAAAATCCTTCCTCCCAAAGCTCATTAATACTCAGATGCAGGCTTCTGAATGGATTGACACTTTGATTTGGCGGTTGGATATCATCCCCAAAACAATCAAGGTCTTCTTGTGGATCTTCACAAAGGAAATGCTCAAAACTTGCTGCAGGCTCCAGAAATTATTGCCCAACTTAGCTTTATGTCCAAATTGGTGTGTCTTATGTAGAAAGAATGAAGAGGATGCAGTTCATCTCTCTGTCTTCTTCCCTTTTGATGCAGCTGTTGGTGGGATCTGCTCAATACGTGCTGCCTTAGTTGGGTGTTTCCTAACAAGGCCTCATATGCTTTCGATCAACTAATGCTGGGTAATGATTTTAAGGGGCAGGCTAAAATCCTTTGGTCAAGCACAGCGGTGGCTTTAGTTTAGAGAATGGCATGAAAGAAACAATAGTATCTTTCGAGATGGAGAAATGGATAGCACCTTTTGGGATCTTGCTAAAATATTTGCCTCTTCTTGGTGTTCTACTATGAAACTTTTTTGTAATTATGGAGTGTCTCAAATCTTCACCAGTTGGGTTTCCTTTTTGTAGCCTTTTGGTGTTCGGAGATAGCTCATCTTCTTTTTTTGTAATCCTTCTCTTTGATAACGAAAGTTTCGTTTCTTATTTAAAAAAAAAATGCACAAATAAACGACTGGAAGAATCCACCCACTCTTGTTTCTTAAATTCTGTAATAATCCAGGAGTTCATTTGCAATTAACCTTGGATCAAGAATTTGTCTTCCCCCTATAGAAGCACTCTGATTCAAGGAAACTGTGCTGGTGATAACCTTTTTGAGACGTTTTATGAGAACCACAGCCAAGATCTTCCATATAGAAGTGGTGAGACTGATTTCTTGGGAACAAGGCCAATGAAATTTTCTTTTATACAAGCATTAACGTGACATTTTCTATAAAATTCTGCAAAGAATCTCATAGTTTCTCCCTTCCAATGCTGCCAAAATTTTGAAAAAAACTCAATAGTGAAGCCGTCAGGCACCTTATTCTTCCCAAGATTCCTTATAGCATTACTTATTTCTGATTCTTCAAATCTCCTGTCCAACCACCCCTTGTCTTGTCCCGAAATAGGCCTCCAAATGATAACCTTTGGCGTGAATCTTTGCATCCCTCACTGCTGTACAGAGTTTCAAAAACACTTATGATTTCCACTTCATTATTCTTTTGGTTTGTCCGAACAAACCCCTGATCATCCTTAATCTCCAAAATTTGAACTTTTCTTTTTCAAGCAGCCAAGAACTTATGAAAGAATTTACTATTTTCATCCCCTTCTTTTAACCATCGAATCTTGCTGTTTTTGAACCATATTTTATTCCTTTCTCATGTGCAAACTTGAGTAACTCTTCAAAGGGCATCTCCTTTCCACCTCATCTAGTGAAATCCCATCAAATTCATCTTTAGCATCCAAGGTGGATATTTCTGATACTATCTGCTCTTCCCTCACTTCGTGTTTCTTTTCACTTTGACTACTCCCTTGCTTAAGGGACAATTTAAGATTTCGGAGTTTTGCAAATATCACAAAACCAGCCCAACCGTGTGAGCTATCCTCTGAGAGCTTTGATTTAATTAACTGGATACATTCTTTATCTTCCAACCAGGAGTTAGAATCAGAATGTTTTAGGACCCAAATGATGTCTCCTGCATCGAGAACAATAGGGAAGTGATATGACGTAATTCTTTCTGATCTGTTTGCCTTGGAACTATTGAAAAGGTTATCCCATTCTCTTGATACAACGAACCTATCTAGCAAAGAATGAAGATTATCGTTCCCCATTTTTGACCATGTGAATCTTCCTCGATATGGGAACTTCCAACAGCTCTAATTCATCAATGATCCTATTTAATTTTCTCATACCTTTTGTAATTCTCCCACCTGAAGATCTATCGGACATCCACCTTGTTACATTAGAATCACCTCCAAACCAGAATTTGTCACTGAGGCCAGAAAATCTCGAATTTCTGCCCATGAGTGCTTTCTATCTCTGCAATCATTTGGCCCATAAACAGGAGTTATAACCACATCATTCAAATGAGGAAAGGATATTGAGATAGATACAATAAAATTTCCTTCAAGATGGACTCTAAGAAAATAGGTTGAAGTAGGTTGACTCTTGGATTTCTTGGCCAAATATGATTGCATCAGAAAATATCTTTTACTGGGTTTATTATTGGAAGAAATGGCACAAATATGGACCCTAAGAAAATACAAGCCATTTTGGATTGACCTCAACCAAAAACCGTGAGAGAATTTTTTTTCTTGTCTTATCTTCTTTTTATAGAAAGTTTATCAAAAACTTTAGTTCACTTACCGCAAGCTTTAAAACTATCAAAGCTAAACTAGGTCACCACTATGGGAAATTTTGATGGGCTTTTTCCAATTTCCTTTGTTTCAACTTGATGCTCTACCTTGTCTATCTCTGCTAACTATATCTACAAGAATAAACCTTCCTCAATGAAAGAGCTTGCAATTTGTTCAGGTGTGGACTCACTTGCTATTTCTTTTGCTTTACCTTGAACTTTGAAGAGGGGGAGAACTTTTAATCAGATTCACCATGGCCTTCCAACCTTTTTTATTTTCTGCTGAGGGCACCACTATGTTCTTGTTTTTATGTTAGTTCTGCAAAAACCCCTCTCTCGTTTGTGATCTTCTGCACCCAGAAAGTAGACTCATCAGACTGTCATGTTCTAAATAACTTGTATGAAATGGGATTTACAGCCAAGTCTGATAACATATCAAACAACCAAACCAGTTCAGATTTGAACAAGATAATGGATTAAGTTGTCGAACCTCTGCTTTCCTCTAGAAAAAATGCATTCTTAGGATCCCTATCGAAATCAAGCACGAAAACCTTGTGGTGAACATCACACTTAACTGCTTGGAGCCTTTGACTGATGCTAGCACTGTAGAAGTCTTGATTAGAAAACATGATGAGAATATATGGTAAAAAACAGATCAGCAACAGCTGGAGAAGCTAGGGAAGAAGATGAGAGGATAGAGAGCGCGAGAGCCATCTTTTCCTGATAAAAGAACATTAAAAGCATGTAAACTGATATGATATATATACTAAATATGGATTGTTTAAACTAATAAAATGGTTGAGGGTTTCAGGCACAAAAACAACTATGGTAGAAGACACATTTTTCATGAGGAAATTTCTCACTCACCTTGATTCCTGTGGAATGAAGAATGAAAAACCACAATAGAATGGAGCAGGAGATAAATGACCAGCATTGACTCACCTTTTTACCATCCCAAACAATTATCGATCTTCTTTGACTATCCTCTTTTTAATAATAATAGTTGTTTCCTTTTGCAGGCTGTCCTTCTATTATCGAAACTTCCATCAGAAATAGTAGGGAAGTCAATTGATGTAGAACGGATATATGATGCTGTAAATGTCATCCTGTCCTTACAGGTAACCGTCGGTTAATGTGCCTTGATGCAAGATGTTTCTAAATTTTTTGCATGGTTTTTTTCCTCCCTTAAGATCCACTCCTCCAAGCTGTTGTACCTAAATGTATGTTTCATGGCATTGACCATATGTTTAATTATGACATATAGGTGACTAGATAGGCTTTTCATTGAAATATGTTTCTATTGTTGATTGAGTGAATCAGACCTAAACTCATGCTAGCAAACTGAATCGCCACCAACCAGTAGATTTTCCAGTGAAGCATTACTGAATTTCCAAAAAACATGTGGTGATCTCTTTCTTAGAAGTCGTTTTTATTTCCAAAAATCTGTCACCCTTGTGGCTTGTAGTAGTTTTGTGAAGAATCTGCTTTGAGGTAGGTACAGCTTGATTACTTACAGAAAGCAAAAGGACAAAATAAACCAATAGTATGAATTGCCCCCATGGGCCTACTTCAACTCATCTGACATATGGACATCAAGTCTAGTGATCATTGCTTTCGCTGAATTATGAAGTACTGATTCTAGTAAATAAGGTTTATGCTATTTTGGTGATCCACACAGGTGTCTTCTTCTTGGTATTGAATGTGGATGCTGACAGCATAGATTTATATTACAAATATATAGAGTTGGGTTTCATTATGGATCTCTATTTGGTGTCAGCAGGCATGATACAGATCATTTTTTGGCCTTATTTTAGTCCAAAGGTGTACCGTATATTTTATCCTTTAATTTAAATTTATTGAGGCTTCTTTCATCTAAACATACTCTGAGTTTTTGTTCTTCAATAATTCGATTCCAAGTTTGTTAGCCTTATTTTAATCCAAGTTTATTAGCCTGCAGAATACTGATGGTGGCTTTGCCACTTATGAACTGACCAGATCATACCGGTGGCTGGAGGTAAAAAACAACTAATCCCCGAGTGCTTTGTCTCTCCTCTTCTTATTGTAGCTTGGGTTACTTGTTATTTGCTTTCAATTTTCAGCTGCTGAACCCAGCTGAAACTTTCGGCGATATTGTCATTGACTACCCGTAAGATTTGAAACATTCATGTCCAATGTTTTAACTTTTGTTGTTATATATTAGTCTTGAATTTAATGTTGGACCAATTGAATGTATAGATATGTCGAGTGTACCTCAGCGGCAATTCAAGCACTTGCAATGTTCAAGAAATTATATCCAGGTCATAGAAGGGATGAAATTGATAATTGTATTGCTAAAGCTGCAGACTTCATTGAAAGCATACAAGCGGCTGATGGATCTTGGTTCGTTTCAATTTCGTGGATATTTTTTTAAAGTTAACTTGATGTACTTAGTCCCTTCGAATGACTTCTACTGTAATGGTATTGTATCAGTGCGTCTCTATACCCTGATTAGTAAATGAACTATACAGATAATATTATGCATGAATATTATCTGATTACTTACTTCATTTTAATGGGAGGGCTTCTTAATAGGTATGGATCTTGGGGAGTCTGCTTCACCTATGGTGGTTGGTTTGGGATAAAGGGTCTGATTGCTGCTGGAAGGAGATACGATAATTGCTCTAGCGTTCGTAAAGCTTGTGATTTCCTGTTGTCTAAAGAGCTTGCTGCAGGTGGTTGGGGAGAAAGTTATCTTTCCTGCCAGAATAAGGTTGTATCACATGTGGGAATTTCTTCACATTCTCTTGCTCAGGAATGTGATTAGCTTTCACACGGACTTTTTTTCACCTTCCTTCATTACCGTTTCTATTTATTTAAATTTATAACATTCAGTGGGTAGACTTTTTCTTCTCTTCAGTTTTACAAGATCAATTAGCTATTTACTTGAACAGAAACACATGTTAGCCTACTTTTGCGATGCAGTAAACTTTGAGCTATTTTTAGGTCATGGGTCAGAACCCACCTTTTTTTCCAATGGAGTTGAACTTGGGCTATTTTTATGTCACTAGTTTTAACCCACTAATTTTTTCTGGATCACAAGATCATGACTGAGAGTTAAGATAAAAACCCTTCCACCAAAAGATGACTCCTTATGATAAATACCTAAAATCCCAAAATCAAATTAGCACATTCCCAAGGGAAGGATTAGTTGAAGAATTATCTTGTTAATCGAAGACCAAGAGGTAAGGAGAACTAGTTTCTTATTCAAGGTTGAGCACTCCACAAAAAGGTTGATCGAACCCAACTTGAATGTTCTGAATTTGTAACCTAGATCAAAAATAGCAAACAAAGGATGAACTCTAAGTCATCAAGCTAAACACAGTCAAATTTCCATTCCGGCAAAAATCGTTCTATTCGCAAGATTAAAACCCTAATCTCAAAACCCTAATCTCAAAGGAGAAGCTAAAAGATTATAATACCCTCAATTAAGGGGATATAACTATTTTTAAAATAAATATCTAATAAAGGCTTAAATACGGACAAAATAACAAAATTAAAATTGTAAAATTTATTGACATAGAGTTACACCATCTCCTTGTATCTTCATTTGGCACCCTGAATATAGCTTCTTTCCATCTTTATCCTCTTGATCTCCATTAATTGAGCCTACTACTATTTGGATGGGAGAGTCGAGAGTTAGTTGTAGCTGTTTGGCATTTGAGTAAGTGATTGGTCTTAAAAGGTTTGTAGAATTAGATTATACTGATTGCTTGATGGTTATGAAATACGGGAATAAGACATCACTTCCTTTGCAAAAAGAAAGAATAAGGCATCGCTTGACTTTTATTATGATTTATTGATATGTTGTTTTTATGATGAAGCACAAGTATTGATTTGTCATGCTTCCAGATACCAAATTTACTCCCCTGTTTCACGAATCTTCTTATCATTTGAACAGGTGTACACAAATATTAAAGATGATAGGCCACATTGTGTGAATACAGGCTGGGCTATGTTGTCCCTCATTGATGCTGGGCAGGTATTTGAGATTGGTTATATTAGTTCAAATCAACTTATAAGCGCTAAAACTATTTTGCATTTATCAAATAAATTGAGTCTTGGGTAGTCTATGATGATCTAACACAACTCTTTAACTTTATTCATTTTCATTTACTTCATATTCTTAAGGTGTAATTTGGCATACTCTTGGAGATGTTTTAAGTTTTTGATGTGTTGATTTTAACTCAAGTCACTGTAATGATTACAATTATTCTCTTGTGGTTAGTCTGAGAGAGATCCAACACCATTACACCGAGCAGCAAGGATATTAATTAATTCTCAGATGGAGGATGGAGATTTTCCTCAAGAGGTAACTATGGACTTTACTCATGCACTTAAATTACTTGAAATGCAACCTGGTTTGATTAGTGCATTACTTTATACTTACCAACATCAAACAAATGCAAATGCACAGTGGGAATCCATAATGGAATAAGTGCTTTGATTGAAAGTTGATTATGGAATTTGTTTTATGGTATGATGAAAGTTTAAGAAAGAATCTAAGCAAGAAATTATCTACCATTAATGCTACATTTTTGTGTGTTAATTCACAAATTTCTTTGTACAGGAGATCATGGGAGTGTTCAACAAGAATTGCATGATTAGTTATGCTGCTTACCGTAACATTTTTCCGATATGGGCTCTAGGTGAATATCGTTGTCGGGTACTACAAGCCCATTGAATGATATATATGTTGCTGCCCTCTGCAGCCAATCTATCGGTAACAGAAGTATTATTATTTTATTTCAGATGTTTTATGGTTTCTTCAACTCTTCTAAATTGAATCAGATGGACAAATATTTCTTAATTGCCTTATGAAGTTGCAGGAGCAAATATTTTTTGGTTTACAATGATGCAAACGGGTAGGGTGGGTACATGTTCAATAACAACAATGCATTATTGGAGTTTCCAGTCATGGGAATAAATACTTCTTGATTTACTTGCATTTGACGGTAGAGAAGTCAAATTTCATCGGATGAACAAATCTTTATTTATTACCCGAGCAGCTATGGATAGCAATATTTTTTTAGAATTTAAATGATATTTTGTTCTCTCCTTTTAGCTTTTGTCTATTTTAATTTTTATACTTTTGAAATGTTTGTTTTAGTTATTCATGTTATCTTTTTCCATTATACTCCACTTAATCAATTTTAACATTTGTTACTTTGTATTTAAAAGATTTTATTATGCACCGAATTTATCAAAATTTTGTCGACACAGATTAAGTTGAATGAATTCTTTAAAAGTGCAGGGGTTTAAATAAATGTAAGTATAAAAAAATAAAATTGTATTTAAATTTTTAACTTTTGGACTAGTCGGTGCTTAAAAAGGAAAAGAAATTAATTTTTAATTCTGTACCTGACTTGGAACGGGACTAGATCCAAATTTCATGTTCAAGTTTAAATTTAACCTTGAAAGTGGATCGGTGTTGAGTGTTTTAATTTTGAGTACATTATCTCAACTAGGAGTTTTTCAATCAGGACATTCTCCATTTTCAATATTTAAAAATATAGATTTCGATATTTGAATTAAGAGTGTCTTCAAATTATTCTCAATAAATATTATCTTATTGTAATTATTATATATATTTTTAAATAAATTGTTTCTTAAACAAATTAATGTTCATTTAATGAAAAATTTTATATTTATTATTAAATGGTCTTATTTTAACAAATGATTCAACAAATATAAAAAGTTTTCAATGCTATTATTCTTATTATTTTAGATTCTAACTACGAAAATAGTCCTTCCATTTCTCAAACGGTTGCAAATTTTTTTCGGCTGGAAAATAGAGCACCTTTATTGGATGGAAAATAGAGCAACTTTATTGGATTAGAACTGATGGCTTACACCTATTTCTTAGGGCGTTTAAAGGGTATTATTCTTTATTATTATTATTTTAATTTTAATTATTATGTAATTTTGATATTTGTGTTTGTATAAAATTATGATTATGGTTGTTTAAATGACTGTAATTTTTGTGAAATATTAACCTTATTGTAGTTGTTCCCAACTCGTGTATTTAATATACCACTTAGAAACACTTCTTGTAAATAATAAATATATACTCGTCCAATTATATAATATATTTTTTTTATTGGCTTGTTTTTTTTAGTACAACATGTGGGGTGGGAAATCGAATTCACAACCTTTTGGTTGGAGGTATATGTCAATTACCGTTGAATTATGTTTGCTTTGGCTTTTTTATTGATTTGTTAATCATATATATTTGATATTATATATACCAATTTTAATGGTAGTTTATATTATATTACTATACTGTTTATACTAGGTTGAGAAAGTTATATTATACATAACATAAAATTTACACTACTTAAAATATTGTAAAATGTTTATTCTATTTCTTATTTCTAAACTTAAATCATTAGAATTGTTACAAAAATTAAATTTAAATAATTAAATTTATTTATTTTATTAAGCTAAATTGAACTTCAACGTGAACATTGAGTACATATTATACAAAGAACTTTTCACCTAACATGTACCCTTATATTTAACAAATACTATACAACTGTCACATAATATGTAATATATAACACTAATTTAAAACATCAATTATTCATTAATAGAAACACTCACCACAAAACTCTGATTCTTTATATTAAGTATATTTTCAGTATTTTTATAACAAAATCAGATCTATATGTGTGCGTAACTCGATTTTCTTGAATTCCAATACAAATTTGTTTTACAGCTTGTTTCCTCTTTCATTTTTATTCTACATACATATTTTTGGATCACCATAAATCAAAATACTAGTTAATTTTCTATTTTGTTTGGTATGTTTTTTTTTATCACTTTTGTTTTCTTTTTATTTTAATTTTTATAACATATTAATTTGGGTAAAAAAATAAAAAAAATTTCGGAAATGAATTCATAAAAAATAGGTAGTTTTATACATTTAAAACCTCTTTTTGGTTTTTGTTTTTTTTAATTTTTACATTCTTATTAGTTTGAAGTATTGATTTGGGAGGAAAAAAAAAGCAGGGATACGACAACAAAAAAGATGCTGGAAAATTGGATAATGGTTTAAGTTTGTTTATTATAAACCTATTGATTATTGATTTAGATTTAAAATAATTTGCCTTAATTTTTCAAAAATATTTTTTTTTCAAATTTCATTGACAAGTTTTAATTTATTGAGTTAATTTGATTAAATGATTTCATTTCTACCCACAGTTGACATTACTATTTAAGATTAAGATATTATATTATTATTATTTATTTATACTAAAATTATAAGGGCATAATAGTAATATGTTATAATTTATTTCTATTACTCGTGAAAATGACAACAATAAATTCTAATTTCAACTATTTCAAATTAATTTGTTCCATAACTAGAAATTTAAAATTATTTCCCTCTTTTAAAATTTTAGAATTTGAAAGGTTAAATTCTAAATGCCAAACGCAGCACAAAGAGCATAATACTTAATCTCAGAGAGAGAGAAGAAGGATAAGAATTACAGGAAGGGAGAGAAGAATAGCGGGAAGAATCTATTCAAGAGAGTGGGCTCGAGGAAGAGTGTACGTAATTTCGTAAAAGGATAAAAATTTTTATTTTAGGACAGATTTCATTTTTGCGTAATACTTTGGCCATTCAGTAGTCAGTACAAAACCCCGTCGTTTTGCTCACTTTCCCCGATTTCTCCTCCCTCTCCACCTTGCGCGCATCGCTTCCCTAGCCTAGATTTTGTGCGACGGCTGAGAACTCCGCAACGAACGTATCCACCGGCGACGGCGACGGCGACGCTGGAGACGCCAGGTCTGCGGCGGCGAATACAGCCACGGCCAGCTACTCGTGACGTCGAATCGGCGCGACCTCCCCTACTGTAGCCCCCTGCGACAGGCCAAACCTACATATTCGAGCCCTCTCCTTGTGGCGGTCGAGACCTACGACGACTGGCCCAGTACCGTACGTTGTCTCTCTTTTATTCAACCTGCATATTCTCTTTACAGAGTCAGTAAAAGCATTGTATCAATTAACTCTATAGTTTAACAGACTACGGGGTTTGTGTGTTTTATAGTCTAGTGTAAGATATGTTAATAGGTTTATAATAAAATTTAAGATCCAACCAAAAGCTTTTTTGTTATACCCACTATTTTCGTTGTTTTCTTTTTACTACATTACCAAACATAGTTTCAACAAAATTTTTCTTTGACTCAATTTTTGAATATGTTACCCATCGCATTTTTTAAAATACTGAAACATAAATTACAACTATGTTTGTCATTAAATCCATTGTTTTCATATTCCTGTTTTTAGATCACCAACCAAACACATCCTTAGAGATATCAGATTTCGAATCAATAGGGATTAAAGAGCAGGGCCAAGTAAGTGATCTCTCTCTTATAGGACATTGCATGTCTGTTTTCCCTATTACTTTGTCTTGTTTGCTTATGTATTGATTTAGTTGCCTATATATCTATGATATGCGGTCGTGGATTCTTGATGTCTAGCCGTTTGTTTTAATAATGGAATTGATGGTTTAACTTGCTGAAATTTTTGTTCAGGCAATGTATGATTGATATGGTTATGTCATTCAATGTGGGTTGAGTCTAGAGTGTGCTTATAATAAACTTTAGCTAATTGTTTATGCATATAGTAGATACAAGAGGTATTGGTTTAATTAATATGCTTATGTTGGGTGAGCATGCACGCCAAGGGAAGAGAACTTGCATGATCAAGAAAGTTGAGTTCTACTTAGCCTAGACCAAAATGTGATGGTTATCTTATGTACGGATATTTGGGCACCTAGGTACAAAGGTTAGGGGTCGATATCTGTATTGGAATATACTAGGTATTAGTGTGCCGGGTAAAAAGGACAGGGTTGGTATCTCTCCTATGAAGATGAGTATTGGGGTCGTGGGTACAAATGTCATGTCTGGGATTGATGTGTTGTGTAAATTATGGAATGAGAAAGTTTAAGTATATGGTTTAGCTGGGATCCCATGTTGTTTATTTATGCTCATATACATGTGTATATGTTAATAAGTTGTATTGTATATTTGTTGGATGGCTCCTCAAGTGAGGGGCTGCTTATAGTTACTACTTACTGAACTTGATGGAGCTGAGGAGACTTGAGACAGATTGATTAACTCCATCTACAATTTTGTTTATGTTTTGCTGCTTAATTTGGGTTTAGTATTTTCTTTCATTAAATTTGTTCTCTTTATGAAGCTTTTCGACAATTGGGGTGTTTGTGTATTTTCAAACATTGTTTTTCAATCTTGAAGACTGAACAATTGCATAATGGAATAAAAATGATAACCCTTCAAATTCAAACTTTTGTGATCCCAGCATAGTAGTAATTTTGTTGAGGCTTCTCATCTCTCTAAGTGAACTTCCTTCTAGAAATTGACCAAAAGACCAAAGAAATATATTCTCCTTCACAGCAGGAATGGATTGAAGATAAAACCTTTTTAAGATGCTTTCTTTCTGTTTATTGCTTCAAGAACACTACTGCTGCTTTCATCATGCTTTTAGAGAAACCCATCGGATTTGCCAATGAAATCAACTTCAGCTCAAACAATGACTTTTGGACTCCATATTGACTGTAACAGCTTTTTTCTAAACTTTCTCAAGCTTAGATTCTTTAATAAGAACAAGGCAGTGCAAAGATTCTAGAAGAATTTCTTCATTGATGTGCTTTCACAAATGACATCCAAAACTCTTGAAATCCTTGAACAAACTTCTAAAGTATCTCTGATTTTTAATGGCTGTTTGGTTTGATGATGTAGTTAGTTGTTAGTTATTCGGCCTATTAGTTCAGATTAGGTTCTTATATATCTCCTTTAGTTTGTTTTATAGTTACCATATGGTAACTTGGTTTACTGTATAGTTAAAAGCCCAGCAGCTTCTATAAATAGCTGCTGGTTTCATTAATAAAGGGATATTATCATTCCTTCAAGAAACTCTCCTTCTCGTGTATATCAAATTGGTATTAGAGCATCCCATTTTCTGGGCACTCTTATGGCAGGGAAGAAGTCAGTCAATACCGGCAATTCTTCGCTCGTCAACAATGAAATGGAACAAGTATCCATTCTCTCGCCACGATCATCAACCGCACGCTTGTTGTCAGTTGAAGGAGAAGTGAAAACCATCCAACAGGATGTCGGCGAGATTAAGCAAATCTTGGAGATTATTCATGAGAAACTTGAAGCCTTGAGTATGCAATAATCTCCAATCAGAAACTCCCCACAACATCAGGAAAGAAGGGATCAAGAAGTAGGGTTAGAGGGCCGTAGGACTACCTATCCGCAAGAAAGGCAGGTAGGCCCCACCAAGAAGACCCCAAACAATCCGGTTGGGTCCAAGAACCGCACCATTTTCATCAAGAAGTCAATCGCAACCCCTTATTTCGACGGCGAAATGAGCTCATATTTGATTCCTCAAACGATGAGGAAGGCGAGCTGCTAGCTTTCGAAGGGCAGAGGTTCGGTAGGTATCCTAACCCAAATAGGCAACAAGAAAATAATGAATACAAAATGAAAATTGACCTTCCTAGTTTTATTGGCAAGATGGATATTGAAGGCTTCTTGGATTGGATAAAGAATGTAGAAAATTTTTTTAGCTATATGGGAACTCCCGAACATAATAAGGTTAGACTGGTAGCTTTAAAACTGAGGGGTGGAGCTTCAGCTTGGTGGGATCAATTGGAGATCAATAGGAACCGATACGGAAAGCAACCCATTAGGAGTTGGGAGCGTATGAAGAAACTCATGAGAGAACGTTTTCTTCCAATCAATTTTGAGTTAGTCTTGTACAATCAATATCAAAATTGTAAACAAGGTTCAATATCTATAGCCGATTACTCAGAATAATTTTACCGATTGGGAGCAAGAACAAATTTGTTAGGAAGTCAGCAACTCCTTGTAGCAAGATTCAGTGGATTGCGGGCTGATATTAAAGAACAAATAGCTCTGCAACCGATTGGTATCTCAATGAAGCTATTTCAACAGCAACCACCATTGAAGAACAGGTTGGTAATCGCTTCAAGAAGCAATATTCAAGAAGAAACAATTGGGAACATGGAGGGACATCCAAAAAGAATAACACTTCTGGTGACAACCTTTCCTCTCCACTCCGTTCGTAGACACACCAAAAGGTAAACAACCCTAAACTGATTCAATTAAAGATAAACAAGCTGATGTTGTGGTAGGGAAGAAGCAAGGAAACACATACAACCGACCAAAATTGGGTAAACGTTTTCGGTGTGGTCAAACCGGAAATTTATCTAATGAAATGTCCTCAATGTAAGGCCATAAACATGAGCGACGAGGATGAGGTACAAGAGGACAGCAATGAAGAACTGGATGAGGATATTGATTATGCCGAACCAGATGAAGGAGACCCAGTCTCTTGTGTTCTCCAAAGGGTATTGTTGACTCCTAAATCCGAAGTAGCTTATCAAAGACGTGCTCTTTTTAAAACTAGGTGCACTATAAATGGGAAAATTTGCACTGTCATCGTGGATAGTTCACTGAAAATGTTATTGCAAGTAAGTTAGTTACAGCTTTACATTTGCGATTATCGCCTCACCCCGCGCCATATAAAGTATCTTGGATTAAAAAAGGGGGTGAAGCACAAGTCACCCATACTTGCACAGTGGCATTGTCAATTGGTGCTACCTATAAGGACCAAATCATGTGTGATGTTTGGCATTGTCAATTGATGTAGTTAGTTGTTAGTTATTCGGCCTATTAGTTAGATTAGGTTCTTATAAATCTCCTTTAGTTTGTTTTATAGTTACCATACGGTAACTTGGTTTACTGTATAGTTAAAAGCCCAGCAGCTTCTATAAATAGCTGCTGGTTTCATTAATAATGGGATATTATCATTCCTTCAAGAAACTCTCCTTGTCGTGTACATCATTTGATTTAAAAAACTTCTAATCCACAGATTTGAATAAAATAGGAGAATTTTGAAAAAAGATGAAGGGTCAGGAAAAATGTTGTCTAGTTGAGTAGGTTCTGAAAAGACTTTGATGTTCTCCTTTTCCTGCAAGGTGACTTCTTCTTGGAATAATGAACACAGATCCTATTCGAAGGAGATTTCATTCGATGCTTCATCGTCATCATTTGCTCTAGGAGAGTAAATCTCGGTTTCAAGGCTACTGATGCTTATATTATGGAATCTGAATCTATCTCTTCAATTGGGAAAGATTGTTGTTGAACCCATTTGTTGAATTGATAATCTCGAGAGAGAGAGACTATTTTCCTTGCCAAAAACAGAATCCTTGATCTGTTCTTTTGATTGAATGTGGAGATGATCTTCCACTAGGGATTTATCCTGAAAAAAACTTTCCTTTTCAATATATCCCAAAATTTTCGTGCATCTCTCAAAAAAATCAGAATGCATTTTTCCTTCCCGAAATTCCTTCATAAATGCAGCGCAGTGCTATTAGTTACTGGCCCTTTTTTTTCTTGTGTAAAACAAGGGATAAGCTTCAATAAAGGAGTTTCTAATGTCTTCAATCTTTTGGGAATAGGAGAAACTTTTTCCAGATAAGTTTCATCGTGGATTTCAAATGACTTTTCAGTTTTCACATTCTTCCATTGTATTTGGCTGATTTAGAAGGGCTGGTACATGCACTGATTTGGCATTAAAGTTTCTGTTTTCCGATGGTTAAAACTCATTAAAGGCTGTGTTAATCCCTCCATCCTCCTTTTAATTTTTACACCTTCCCATCTGCATTATTAAAGGAAGTAACAACCAGTTCAACTTCTTCATTTGGAGAAAAAGATATATTCCTCATATTTCGCTTCATTTTCCTTATAAGACACTTCATTTTCCTCATAAGTGGCTTCATTTTCCAATACTCGTCTCCATCTTTCCGAATCAAGCTTATTCATGAATTGTCTTGAATCAGATCTCTCAAGTCTTATGATTCTTTTATAAATCCTTGAATACTCAACATTCATCTCTCCACAATCCAAAAGTTTGATAAAAAAGCTTCTCATTAATGGATCTTTACTTTCGATTTCAGCAGGGAGGAAACCACAAGAATGGGCTTTTACTTCTATAAGAGCTTCTTCTTTTTTTTTTTTTTTTTTGGGATAGGATCTATAAGAGCTTCTTGAAAATCAAAGGTTTTGTGGGAACAACTCACAAAACCTCCCAGTTGGCTGCCAATGGCTTCAAAACATTGCCGAGTCCATAAATTCAATGTTAAGTTCAGTAATTTGATCCAGCCACCATAACTCATCATAACTTCTTGCTTACTATCACTCTGTGAGGTATCTCCTCACGTTTTACTAACTTGGAATTCAAGGAAAAAAGAGCCTGAAGGCATTACAACGATAACCCACCTATTCGAGAGGGTGGGGAACCTCCTGAGTGTAGTGCACAAGGCACAAAATAACAAGCATAACCTCCTCACTAACACAGCAGACCTATATTCTCCCTACCCTACTCCCATCCGTACACAACAAGCACTCTTTCTCTCTATCTTGGCCGTTACAGCCCCTTAGTTCCAATTTACCCTTTCTTAACCCCTTAGTTCCAATTTACCCTTTCTAGTGTAGGTATTGACAGTGGGGGGCCTAACACACTCCTGTAAAATATGGAATAGACTACACTAGCTTTTAGACATTAAACTATTGTTTTTTAAAAATTTGTAGTCTAATGTTCAAACAAATAAAAAAATGTTCAATAAATTGATGTAATCGTAGTTTAAAAAATTATACGAATTTATAGACCATGATTTTTAGCAACCATGGTCTAACAACATATAATAGACTTTGACTTTGAAGAAACCATGGTAGACCGAATATTGATCTACTTTTGACTACATCAAAATCCCACTTTACACCGCGGTCCAAAAAAAGACCATATCTATAAGATAAATACTAGTTTACTTTTGACTATGAATGTGGTCTAAAATCCCAATTTACACCACAGTTCAAAAAAATCGTGGTTGAGATGACAAATACTAGTTTACTTTTGACTATGAGTATGGTCTAAAATCCAACAGTAGACTACGGTCCAAAAAAATTATGGTCTATAAGATGAATAGTAGTTTACTTTAGGTTAGGGGTTATTAACATTGTGGTCACAAAGCTAACTTTACATCACTGTGAAAAAAATTGTAGTCTATAGTTTGAATATTTGCTAATGGTAAGTTATGGGGAGTTGGAATAATGGTCTAAAATCTAACTTGAGTACACATGCTTAAAAAAACTATGGTCTCAAGATAGTGTTTAATTTTGAAAATAGTATGAAATTAGAAGGAAAAAAAATTGTAAATATTAATGTTTTAAAATTGAAAATTGGAAATTATATCTTAAATATAACGTTAAAAAAGTAAAAATAATATAACAACTAATTTAAGAGAGTTAAATAGAAAATAAATTATTTTATAAAATTTAAAAACATTTCTTAAAATTTAATGAACATTGTCATTTTTAATTTTAAAAACTGAATTTAAATTTAGAAAATTAGACGTTAATTAATTTTTGTTTTAGGTTGAAATTTGGCAAGTCCTAACTCTCATTTGCATTTGTTATTCTGAAGTCTTTGAGTAGTCTTTGAACGTCACGCTGTTTCGCCCATTCGTAGCTTTCTTCTCTGATTTTGCTGTTCACTGATTATACTCTTCACCGTTTCGCCGTTCGCCAATTGCCAAGTAGTCTTCCCCATTCGCCATTCGCTGTTTCACTTCGTTGTCGCTGTTTGCCTTCGCTTCACCAATCTCCACCGTTTCACCCGTTCGCGTATGCCATTTCACTCGCCAATCGCTGCGGCCTGTTGTTTTCCATTCGTGTTCGCCGATCGGTGGCAAGGACATCTATCTCTGTTTCAACGTTCCCATAATCCCACTAATTTTTTTGCTGAAGTTGTTATAATGCATGTCTCTGTAATTTGTGTTTCTTCTGTAATTTGTAATTTTGTCTCTGTATCTTCATTGATGTTTTGTATTTTTTTTTTTTGTTTTTGATTTCTTTGTGTGTTTGAATTTGATTGGAGAGAGAGTTCTGCTTACACCCATCACTTTTAATTTTTGGGAAGAAGCAATTTTCTGCTAGATTTTCCTCACTCTCTGCTTACACCCACGACACAGACAGTGGATCGTAGTCTGTTTGTTAGTGTGTACTCCTTTTGAGGGGCTGTTTCTTATGCCTCGTATTTTCTGTCATGCTTCTCAATGAAAGCTTGATTTTGAGGAGGAAATAATGGTTGGTTCTGTGACATCCCCACAAGAAATTCAAGAATACATGGTTGGTTTAGATACCTTTTGAAGAATTTTCTTGAAGTGTATTACATTTGTTTACACCTCTCGAAGAGAGTATACAAGATTACAAGACAAGAAATTCATCTTTCTTGGAGTTTTGTCTTCCCCAAAGTGTGTGGACAACCTCATTTGACATTGTAGATTAATGAATAATAAGATATTAAACTTATATGTCATAAAGAGTTCCCAAGTAACAAACCCCATTCAACTTATGGTTTAGTTTATGTTAAATTTTCAAAAGGTTGTGGCTACTAGTTAATTCGTTGATATTTCAGTTTAAGTATTCATAATGTTTCTTCCCAAGCCCTTGCCAACCGGCGCTGCCCCTTAGGGGTTGAAGAAACTAGCATTTGAGTTATGATTAGTGAGCAAAACATTAATGTAATTTAGTTATGTTTTTGCTTAAGAGCTAGAAAACACATATATTTAAGTTGAGATCGAATTTCTGATTCTACTACCAAACACATTCGAGAACATAGAACACAACTATGTTTTTCGTTAGATCTTATGTTTACAAATCACCAACCTAATGCAACAAGTCAACGACACTTTGGAAATAACTATAATTCCTTCACTTTTTCAAAAAATTGAAACCCTACTCCCCCACTTTTCAAGCAGCTGCCTCTCTTCAAGATTTAAATTCAGCCATAGTTCTCTCTCTCACAGTATTAGATCTATTATAAAACAAATTGATGGAAAAGGTTGATGAATGGTTGAGATTTGATGAAGAGCACAAAACTCGAGGTTTTTTTCGTTTTATGTTGATGATTTGCCACCAGGATTTGCCACGAGGGATTTTGATGAACCCTTCTCTCGGGAAATAGGGAATTATGATTGGAGTTGGGAAGATCAAGTTGTACTCTAATGTCCTTGACAAACCTCTCATTAAAGGCAAACAAGAGGTTGTACCCTTCTCTTCATAGATTCATCCACTATTTTTCAGCTTCAAACATGACAACTAACCAAAAAGACAAAGCCTTAGTACCACCTTATTCCCTTATCACTCACGACCCTAAACAAAAATCCAACAAATCTATTTATATAAAAAAAAAAGGAGTATCTATTTCTCTCTTTTTGCTTCGTTGTAAAAGCCATGGTTTTTAGTACACACAGTAAGTACTTGTTGTCCTTCTGATGTATGTGTTCCATGAAAAGATTGAAACCACGTACAAAATCTTCCCTTCAGCATGAAATGTGCAAATTCTGATCAAGGGTCTTTAGAAGAATAATTGTTAATTGACCTGGACCCCAAGTAGAATTTACAGTATTATATTTGTTCATATTTTGTCGGTACTGTTCACAATTACACTCAATTTAAATTGGCAGCACTTGAAGGATAAATATTCTTACTGTTTAAAATTTTGCTTTGATATTTGAGTTGTATTAGATACTACAAACTCTTGATAATGGTTTTTTATTTGTTTTAATGCATGTTATTTCTTTTTATATTATATCTGCAGGATCAAAAGCCATCTTCTCACAATGAAACGCCCTGTAGGTGCTGATGACTTGGCTGGTTCTTCATCTTCTAAGTCCTTACATGCTGCCACTGATAACAAACCGGTCTTCTTGACTAAAGCCCAACGCGAGCAATTAGCTCTTCAACGACGCCAAGAAGAAATTTCCCTCCAAAGGAACCGCCAAGACCAACTTCTCTCCAACTCTCAGAAACCTTCATCTGATTCTGTTGATAACCACAAACCTTCTGACTTTGATCGTCGCGACCGAGATCGGGGGCGGGAGCGGGAAAAAGATCGAGATCGAGACCGAGATAGGACTCGTGATCGGGAAAGAGATCGTGACCGAGATTTGGATAGACGGAATCGCGAGAAGGAGCGGGAGGAAGAGGCTAAGGCTCGAGAGCGTGCTCGATTAGAGAAGCTCGCAGAGCGGGAGCGTGATAAAGAGCTGGATGCTATTAAAGAACAGTATCTTGGCTCCAAGAAGCCTAAGAAACGTGTTATTAAACCGAGTGAGAAATTTCGCTTCTCATTTGATTGGGAAAACACTGAGGATACGTCTCGGGACATGAATTTGTTGTACCAAAATCCTCATGAGGCTCAACTCTTGTTCGGACGAGGGTTCCGTGCTGGCATGGACAGACGAGAGCAGAAGAAGCTCGCGGCTAAGAATGAGAAGGAAATGAGGGAGGAGATACGGAAGAAAGACGGTGTGGAGGAAAAGCCCGAGGAGGCTGCAGCTCAAAAACTTAAGGAAAAAGCTGCTGATTTGTATGACTCGTTTGATATGAGGGTTGATCGGCATTGGAGTGAAAAGAAGCTAGAGGAGATGACTGAGAGGGATTGGAGGATTTTCAGAGAGGACTTCAATATATCCTACAAGGGATCCAAGATCCCTCGCCCCATGAGGAGTTGGACTGAGAGTAAGTTGACAACAGAACTTCTCAAGGCAGTAGAAAGGGCCGGGTATAAGACGCCCTCTCCCATTCAGATGGCTGCCATTCCGTTGGGTTTACAACAGCGTGATGTTATTGGGATTGCCGAGACTGGCTCGGGTAAGACTGCTGCCTTTGTTCTTCCCATGCTTGCTTATATTACGAGGTTGCCTCCCATCAACGAAGAGAATGAGGCGGAAGGGCCTTATGCGGTAGTGATGGCGCCCACTCGTGAACTTGCTCAGCAGATCGAGGATGAGACTGTGAAGTTCTCTCACTATTTGGGTATAAAAGTGGTTTCAATTGTTGGAGGTCAATCAATCGAGGAACAGGGATTTAAGATCAGGCAAGGTTGTGAGGTTGTCATAGCCACTCCAGGTCGATTGTTGGATTGTTTGGAGAGGCGTTATGCGGTACTTAATCAATGCAATTATGTTGTTCTAGATGAAGCGGATAGGATGATAGATATGGGATTCGAACCTCAAGTTATGGGTGTTTTAGATGCAATGCCGTCCAGTAATCTTAAACCTGAAAATGAGGATGAGGAACTTGATGAGAAGAAAATATACCGAACAACATACATGTTTAGTGCTACCATGCCACCAGCTGTTGAGAGGCTTGCTAGAAAGTATTTAAGAAATCCTGTTGTTGTTACCATTGGAACTGCTGGGAAGGCAACTGACCTAATATCTCAGCATGTTATTATGATGAAGGAGTCAGAGAAATTTTATAGATTGCAGAATTTACTTGATAACCTGGGTGACAAAACAGCAATTGTTTTTGTTAACACCAAGAAGAATGCTGATAATGTTGCCAAGAATTTGGACAAGGCAGGGTATCGTGTTACAACTTTGCATGGTGGGAAGTCACAAGAGCAAAGGGAAATTAGTCTTGAAGGGTTTAGGACAAAGAGATATAATGTCCTTGTTGCCACAGATGTTGCAGGTCGTGGGATAGATATTCCTGATGTTGCTCATGTCATAAATTATGATATGCCGAGTAATATTGAAATGTATACACATCGTATTGGACGTACTGGCCGTGCAGGGAAAACAGGTGTGGCCACAACGTTCTTGACCTTACAGGATTCTGAAGTCTTTTATGATCTCAAGCAAATGCTTATCCAAAGCAATAGTCCTGTGCCTCCTGAATTGGCAAGGCATGAAGCATCTAAGTTCAAGCCTGGGAGTATTCCTGATAGGCCTCCTAGGCGTAATGAAACTCTTTTTGCACATTGAGAAGTGTGTTTTTGAAGACGACATGTATACTAGTACCCAGTTTTGGAATGCTAAATTAGGTTAGCAGCTACGATTTTCATTTCATCTATGAATTTATGATTGATGAAGACGTTTCTTGTTACCATCTTTATTGAGAATGTTACATCTGACCTATAGTCTCTCTTCTGGCTGTATATTTAGGAGCAACTGTAATGGTTAGCATTCCGAATGTTGGTTGAGTTTTTTTCCTTTTTGTTTTCGTTTTTGCGATATCCATGAGGAGTCGAAGCTTGTGCTACTTGTCTACAGTAATTGCCCTTTTCATTTATTTTTAAAAAGACTTACCATCAAATGTTGATTGGATTAGTATTCTCGTGTTTATTTCTTGGAAAGGGTGCATCTAACTTTAGTTAGACTAAAGATGAACTGGCATCAGAATGCCTACAATCCAAACCATATGTGAAGAAGATTATTGTTATTATTCAAGTTGTTCAACTTAGTTTGGCTAGGATAGAGGAGGTTATTCATAATCCTTCATGGTAAGGGGTAGATTATTTGGTAGGTCGGTTTTTTGGCGGTGCTTTGGGATCTCTAGTTGGGAAGGAACAACAGGATTTTTAGGGATCTTGAGTGGTCTCTTCAGATTGTATGGTCTAACAGTGTAACTACTATTTGGGCATCGGTTTCTAAAAGGATCTGAGTTCCTTCTTATATAGCTTTAGACTCCATTTGTGGGTTGTCTTTTTGTATGTCTCTTGTCTTTAGGCCTTTTTGTTCTTCTGTATGTGTTCTCTCTCATTTCTTCTCGATGAAAGCCTTATTTATTAGAAACAATAAAATAAAATATATTATATTATTTTTATTATGTTTCTGGTCTTGTCTAAAGAATATTAATACAGTTGATAGGATGCAGAATTTTCAACAATTGGTCTATATTATATGGCCTCCATAATGCCTTATGACCTTGCTACTGAGTTAGTGCACTTTATTTATTTATTTTTTTTTTAAAAAAAGAAAGATTATAGTGCGAAGTTCTGGAACTCTGATTCACTGTTTCTTGGGCGTTGGACAGTTTGGCAAAAAAACGAAGTTTAAGGTCTCTGTGGACATGGTTTGAATGGAAATCAATAACTGTATGGATGAAAGCTATCAAAAACTTTTTTATGGGCTATATGGGTTAGAGAGAAATAACTGGATATAAAATGGTAAGAATAGGCATAGGCAAGAAGTTTTTGATCTGGCCAAATTTTAATATCTATTTTGGTGTTCACCCTTTTTGTAATCACACATCTTTTGTAATAATATAAGTTGAGGTAGTTTGTTTTATAACTTTTCACTAATCAATGAAAAGTGTTTCTTTTTCCTTCAAAACCATGTTGCCTTCTTTGATTAGTTATTTTATTAGTTGCTTATTCAATGCAAAGTGATCTTTGTACGGTGCCTCCTTTTCTTGTGGATTATAGTTTTGGAGCTTCTTTCGTGGCTCTATTTGCCCAGTTGGGTGGTGATATCTATACAAAAGTTGCTGATGCTGGAAGCAGGCCTTTCTAGAAAACTTGAGCATGGAATACCAAAAGACGATCCAAGAAATCCTATTATCATCACAGATTTGGTGATTGCTCCACTCTTCTATTGCTTTTTAGATTTAAGCTGAGACTGTTTATTTAGAAGTTCCAATCATGAATCGTATCTTAGTATTGCTATTTTTAGTTTGTTTCTTTGAACTGCATCTCATTTGTTGTCTTCTTGATTGAAAAGCATGTTTATCAGGCATCTGCAATCTTGTCTTAATGGTCAATCTGTCTTTTTTTCTGTACACTTTCTAATTCCGAGTTGCTTCTTGATGCATTAAATTAGCCAAATAGGGAGCCAACTAGAGGTGAAAGATCCAACGGTTAAAATTTGATGTGGAAATGGATATTACAAGGATACATGGACATTTTTTTTTTAGGATCCTCCTAAGTTAGCTTCCAGTCTTTTAGTGGTGAGCTTGGGTTTAGGTAGAGTGTCCGACACACCAACTTAAGAGTTTTTTTAAAATTAATATTTCAGCAGGCATGTCCACTGAAGTGACATGCTTCAGACACGATATTCTAGAGTTTGTTTGGTAACGTTCATGTTTCCTGTTTCCTATTTTCAATTTTTCCAAGAAATCTAAACATTTTACGACTAATTATATTTCTTGTTTCTCATCTTTGAACATTCTTGAAATTGAATAGATTTTTTAAACCAACCAAAACAAGTTTATTCTTTTTTGTTCCCATTTCCCATTTGTTCTAAAATATAAATAAAAAATTATTTGATCATACCTGAATTTATGGATATTGAGATAATGCAATCATTTTTCTTTATTAAAAATTATGAAATGGAAAAAAGAAATAAGAACGTTACCAGACAGATCCTTCGACACAAGAAAATTTGAAATCGGTCCAGCCTAGCCCATTTTAAAGCCCATAAATCACAATGATAAATCCATGAGATAATGTCTGTGGAAGACTGTTTTAAAAATTTATTTACACAAATGTCTAAAATTTTCTAATTTTACATTTTTAGATTTCTGCAGGTAGGATTTTATTTTAATTCCGATTTTACCCTTATTTATTGCATTTACATTTCTTATAGTTATTTGTTTTTTTGAAATATAAAAGATTTAATTTCATAAATTATTATCATAATCCTTTAATTATTGTGTGCACCATACCAATTTTCAACACAAATCCCTTAATTCATCATTCAAAACCTTAATTTACTCCTTCAAAAAGATTGATTCTCTCTTAATTCACTCTCACACTGGTGCTCAATTTCCAAAGACAATTCAAAATCACATAAACATCTTTTGAAATCTCAATAAACATATATCCGCATATTCAAAAAAATATATTTAAAATCACAGTGTATATCCACTTATATATCCACATATATACATTCAAAATCACTATAGTATATATTCGCATATCCACATATATACAAGTTGAGTTATAAGATAGATCCACTTATATATCTACATATATACACTCAAAATCACTATAGTATATATCCGCATATCCGCATATATACAAGTTGAGTTATAAGATATATCTTAATCAAATCTCTATAATTTATATCCTCATATATACAATCTTTCACACGAAATCAGAAATTGAAAACAACCGTTGGAATGCAAACCTTTCAATCGTGAGACGAACTGCTCTGGCGACTGAGAAAAATGAGGCGGCCGGAGATGAAGGCAGGCAGACGTCAACCGAAGATGAAGACAGTCAGAAACGGCAGGAGAAGAAGAACTGACGGAAATCTCCTTTCGAAGGGGATAAACGCAAACGAAATGCTCTTGCAACAGAGAAAAACGGAGTCGATCGGAGAGGAAGGCAGACAGCGAGGGACGGTGGGAGAAGAAGAACGGAGGGTCGGAGGAAGAAAAACAGACGGTCGGAGTAAGAAGAAAGGAGTGGGTTTCGAAAATGGATGGTTTTTTGGGGTTTTGTGATTTTTTATTTTGGAAAGTATCATTAGCACATTTTAAGGGATTTGACCTCTCAATTTATCAATTTTAGATTTTAATAATTATTTAATATTGAGATGGATCCTTAGAAGGATATATGGATCCTTAAAAGGATATACTAGTAATTTGTGTGATGAGTGTTATGCAAAAGAAAAACAACAAACGGCAGACCAACAGAAGAGAAGAGAACCAAGGGAGCCACTGGCGGAACCGGACCAAGCCGAGCACGACTTGGTCCCGACCCGTGCTCAGTGCCGAGCCGGGCTCGGCCAATGCCCTTTTCTGATCTCCATGTACCCTGGGCCTTGCAATGGTGAATTATGGTCCACTTAACCAAAGGTTCTGGAACCTTCCGAGCGACTATAAATAGGCAATGTAACCTAACCCTAAGGTAAGTCGAGTTATATACTGGAATTCTACTATTCATCTACTCTCCTTGCTAACTTAGGCATCGAAGCTCGTGTGACAGGAGTCACACTGGTTTAGCTTTGTTCAGTTTTGTAGGTCTTCGATTCCCTAATCATCAAGTTGGGTGCGCACCTTAGAAGGAACCGGGAGAGCAAAATCCACGCATCAACAATTGGCACCGTCTGTGGGGAAGAGAAACAAGGCATACAGTCGAACAACAATGCTGTCGGAAAGAAGTCAACGACGCTCTGACGATGACTTCCATGCAAGGAGGAAGTTAAACTTGGATGACCCCTAGATAGGGGAACCTGAGAACGAGGCGAATCGACAAAACCCAGAGTGCCAAGAAGGGTCATCTGAGGTGCCTACAATAACAGCTCCCGAACAACTCCAAAATTAGTTCGCAGCCTTGGTAGAAAAGGTGGAGGGCATGTTTCAGCGCATGACCCAGCTACTTCAACAATTAGAACAACGAGAGGCCGGCGAAGTACCCCTCGTCAGAGACCACCGAAGGGAAAAGGCCTAGTAGAGAGCGAGGCTGAGGAATCAACGAACAGTGTAGGGAGTAGGCTGAGGTTAGGAGGAAACATCAAGTGATGAACTCGAATTTTCGATTCGCGAGGCCAGTAAAAAGACAAAAGGCGACAGAAATCCCCGGTACCGGATGGGGGCAAAAACAACCTAGATAAACAAAACGATGAGCCCATAGACCTCGAGATAAATCGGTAGATCGGCCCGAGTTGTCAGAAAAACAACAAAGTCAGAAAGAAAAGGGATTTGATCTCGAAGAGCTACTGGATCAAGTCGATTCACCATTTACAGAAAATTTATGGGGGAAAAGGTCCCTCCAAAATTCAAACTACCAACGGTAAAACAATTCGCTGGGTCGACCGACCAAGTAGACCACTTTGACGCTTACCGAGAATGGATGGATATTTACGGGGTGTCAGAGGCGATTAGATGTCGTGTGTTCTCGACAACAAAGAGCGGGTTGGCCAGGGTATGGTTTTGATAGTTGAAGCGAGATTCGATCTCGAGCTTCAAGAGCCTGGCTAGGGCATTTGTGACCCAGTTCGTAGGAGGACGAAGCCGAAGCCGACTCGTGGCTTATCTTCTGACCATCAAACAGAGAGCAACAGAAAGCTTGCACGACTATGTGGCTCAGTTTAATGAAGAGAAATTACAGGCTAAGGGTCTCACGGATGCAGTGTCTCTACTAGCATTCATGTCCGGCATCAGGGATAAACACCTCTCATTCTCTTTTGGGAAAAAGTCGCCGAGCACCTTCGGAGGCGTTGAGCCGAGCACAGAAATATATGAGCACCAGAAAGTTCTTCCACTCGATGAAAGAGCCAGAGGGAAAACGATCTGACTAGAAGAGGGAGAGATCTGGGGATAAGCCACAATTGTCGAGATGGGAGAAAATAGATCGTACTAGCCCGAAGGATCCACTCCGGAAGTTTGAGAAGTATACCCCAACTACAATCCCACTCGAACAAGTGCTGATGGAGATCAAAGACCAAAGGTTGCTTAAATGGCCAGAGAGGATGAAAGCACTTCCAAGCAAAAGAAGCAAAGGGCGATATTGCCTTTTCCATCTAGACCACGGCCATGCTACTCAAGATTGCTTTGATCTCAAAGAAGAAGTGGAAGGACTCATCCGAAGAGGATATCTCAAAGAATATATGGAGGATCCTAAAGCGACGCAGAATGGTGAGAACGATAGTAAGTCACTCGCTTGAGAAATCCGAACAATAATGGGAGGTCCGGTAGAGAGAAAATCTTGCAGAAAGAGAAAGGTGAGCATACGAGAAACTAGGGCGAGCCTCGGACAAGATTAGATTTACCATGCATTTGTTGCAGAACAATCGACAAAAATTGAGTTCTCAAAGGATGAGGCGACTCACCTCCTCCACCCACATAACGACGCACTGGTTATCACTCTGAAAATAGCCAATGCAAAGGTGCATCAGATCTTGGTAGATGGGGGCAGCTCGGCAAATATCATTTCCTTGGCAGCTTACAAAGCCATGGATCTAGGAGTGGTGCTTAAAAGTAGCACGGCACCGCTGGTAGGGTTTGGAGGAGAACGGGTCATCCCTGAAGGGAGAATAGAATTGTCGGTGACATTCGGAAGTGGGCCAAAAGCATCACTAAAATGGTAGACTTTTTGGTCGTCAACTATGCATCCTCCTATAATCCGATATTAGGAAGACCAACAATGCACATGCTCAAAGCAATATCGTCCACATACCACCAGTCTATGAAATTCCCAACACCTGGTGGAATAGGTGAGATCAAAGGAGAACAACGAGTATCACGTAAGTGCTACTACGCTTCTATGAAGGGCAACGACAGGGCTTCTACTGCGGGTGACCATTGATTTCTTCACTCAGCTAACCAGTATAAGATAGGTTCAAGATTCTTTGTTTCTTTTTCATTTGTTTTTTATCAAACGAAATTTAAGATTATCGTTTTTTACATTTTGAATCAATAAAGTATCCATTGTCTACATACTTGAGTACTCCCAATCAACTTTTTTATGTACTCCTCAAGTAGGGGGCATAATAGTACATCAATCTACATCGATCGACAAGAACTGGAAAGAATAATTAAAGATCTCGAGCACGACCAAACTAGAAGCGGGTCGCTTGACTTAGCACGGTTAAAACATAAAATGGAGCAAAATCAAAAACCAAACGACAGCAACTAAAGGTACAAAACCATTGACTATGGCCAAAGGGTTAGAAACCTATGAGAAGTAAAGGCAACAAAAATAAGCTCCATCAGAGTTAGACCTATAAGCCAATAATTTTTTGTAATAGAGAATTGATTGATAATTCCAAAGGTAACTACAAATGAAAACAAAACAACAACATAACAACAGCTAGTTCATAAAAGCGATCAACACAGACAAAGTGTCTGGCTACCCTCCTACTCATCATCATCATCATCCATGTCGTCGGGGGCATCACACTCGACCTTGAAGCACTCCTAGAGAAAGGAGTAGTCAATGTTGGGATGCTTAGTAGAAACTTGGCGAAGAGACCAAGAGATGCTACACTCCATGGCAGCATTCTGTAAATCAACATACTCATACGTCTTCCTGAATTCTCCGGCCAAGAATTCAAAGTTGGAGAGCCGAGCGTTGGCCTCATCAAGCTTCCTCTGTAGGTTGGCAAGCTCATCTTGGGATTTTCTCTTCTCAGTTTCCAACTCACGTCGAGCGTTCTCTAGGAGGCTATTGACCTAGCTCAAGGAGGAGAGGGCCTGATCCAACTCCTCCCGAGGGGCATAATGGCAACGAAGGTGGTTGATATCATCAGCAACTCGACCCGAGAACAGCACCAGACGATTAAAAACCTGCCAAAGTCAGAAACCGATGCTAGGTGAAAATGCTACGGCAGGTACTTAAAACTACAAATGCTCACCTGGTGGATATCGCTAAGGCATGTATTGATGCTGTGCTGAGGATTAAACAAGCCAAAATCTGACTCACTCGACGATTCTTCGAGCCCTTGCCAAAGGCTAAACACCCTCTCCAGGTAAGCTGCCCGTCGACATCAACGTTGTACGAACCAG